GGGGGGGGGGGGGGGTGTAGTTCTCCTGACACTGGATCAGGATTCCTTTGGACAACACCTGTGTTCTCACTGGGCTCACTCTGCACCGGGATGGGATCGGCCAGCCTGGGACCCACAGTGACCAGGCTCTGGGGCGACTGGCCACTCAGCCTGGAGGTCAGAGCCCGCCTTTGCCTAGGGCTCAGGGTCAGCTCACACCCTCTGGAGCCTGGTCAGCATCCCTGGTGCAGCCCCTGACATGGGCCACAGGTCTCCTTTATGCCCTCCAGGTGGCAACACTGAGACACAGACAACACACAAAATTCACACATGAACCAGGCTTTAGCTAAGGAGGTGGAGGAGCCTGATTTCTATACCACAGACCCTTCTGGGTTCCTTCCATGTGTCTGCTCAGTCCCACATGCTCCCTCTAGGGGACTAGGAGCACCTGCTCTGCCAGGGGTGTCTGTGTTGCTCCCCACTCCCTGCCTGGCACCACCCATGAGCAAGGTGGGGGTGACCACAGGAAAGTCCTCAGGCAGAGGACAGAGGCTGCTCCAATGGTCAGGGAGCACAAGGACAGGCTCAGCCAACAGATAGAGAAAGAGGTCTCCCTGAAATTGTCCCCTGAGGACCAGGGAGGCCACAGCCATCAGACCTCCCACCCAGGAACTATAGGTCCTCCTGAGACACCCAGTCCTGGGTCTCCATCCCTGGAAGAAGATGCCAGACTGGTGACACCTGGAGATAGAAGGTAGGTCTACTCTTCAATCATTGCCCATTTGGCCCCTTCTCAGCCCCTGAGTCACCTCTGTGACCTTCCTGCTGGGAGGAAATCCAACCTTCCCAGAGCATTTGAGAACACAGGGAAGACCCAGTGTCTAGCTGTGTTTCTGTGTCACAAATGGAAATAATCTCCAGGTTTGGAGACTTCAGGGGCTCTCTGTGCAGAGCTGACAGACCCCAAAAAGGACACAGCAGAGGCCAATGCTGCGATGAGAGAGTCTCCCTCTCAGGGGAAGGGGTCTTCATCAGCTTTGCTATTGAAAGTGTGCTCCAATGCTCTTGTGTAATTTTTTTAATGAACAATTTCGATATTTATAAGAAATGTCAAATGAAATATTTTGATGAATTTACTAATAAGCATCAGAGCCAGTGTGAATCAGTGGTTAGAGCATCAGTCCCTGAACCGAAGGATCGTGGGTTCAATTTCTCATTAAGGTAACGTTCCTGGGTTACAGGTTTGATCCCAGGTCCCAGTCAGGCGCGTGCAGGAAGCAACCAATCTATGTGTCTCTCATGTCGATATTTCTCTCTCTCTCCCCTTCCTTCCTCCCTTCCACTCTCTCTAAAAAAGGCAATGGAAAAAATATACCCAGGTGAGGATTAACAAACAAAAAACAAAAAGAATAAGCATTGGATTTACACTTCTGTGTTTTGTTCACTGTTGTATGGCCAGCTTCTAAAAAGGGCTTGGATGAGCAGTATAAACTCAATAAATATTTGGTAAATGGAAAAAAGAGAGAGAAAGAAAAGGAAAGAAAGAAAGGAAGGAAGGAAGGAAGGAAGGAAGGAAGGAAGGAAGGAAGGAAGGAAGGAAGGAAGGGAGCCTCACAGGGTAGTAAGATTACCTTCCTCTGAGAGCTTGTTAGAGGCAGTTACTGGTCCACCGCACACCCGGGGAGTCAGAATCTGCATTTTTAACAGGATCTGCAGACCCTCCCTGTGAACAGGAGGAGAGGGACTGCCCCATCCCCACATCATGAGGTCTCGTTCTGGAGGGGCATCCACATTAGCTGGGCAGCTGCTGAAGCTTCATTACTAAGGTGTCATGTGGGCATCACAATCTTTACCGAGTTCCACAGGTGATCCGACGTACAATGGGGTGACATCCCTGTGACAAGAGTTTGTGATGTGGCCCCAGGGCTCCGGCTCTGAAAGAAAAAGCCAGAAGAGATAAGAGAGGCCTGAGGGGGGTGCTACTGTGCACCCAACGTGGACCTGTGGGGAATGCCCCGGACCCACGTCCCAGGCTTGTGCTTGTCCAAACAGGTCATGCGCACACTTGAAGGTGGGGGGTGGAGGGGTGGAGAATCACTGTGGGAAAAGGCAGAGGCCTCAGCAGTTCCTAGGGTCTGAAAACTAGACGGAAGGTAAACAAGAAGCAGGGAAGGCAAGGGTGAGGAGAGGGAAAGGGAGGTTCCTGGGCACAGACCCTGCCCCTGGCCCACGTGACAGGGGAAGCGTCATGACCCCGCGGAGGCTCAGCACTCCAGGAAAAGGACTGCAGACCGCAAGCTTCAGGAGAGGAGTACTTGTAAGCGTTTCTCACAGAGGGAGGGACAGGGCAGCCAGCACACACCATGGATTCACCCACAGCTCCTGCCCACAGAGGGTGCATCCCCTGGCAGGGGCTACTGCTTGCTGGTAAGGAGGGGACAATCCCTGGGGATGGATAGGAAAGGGGGGAGACAGAGACTGGCTGGGGGGGGGGAGCTCTCTGAGAGGGGACAAAGTGTTTCTATTTGGACCTAAGGGACAGGACAGGGGAGCAGAGTAGGATGGTGGAGGGGGCTCAGCAATGGGAAAATCCCATGATCTAGAAGTGGTGAGGGGCAGGAAACCCTCAGTTACTGTGTTTTACAAGTTATTCATCACTGAGAAATAATTTCTGAAAACTGATGATAATAATAACAATTTATCAGGATGACACAGAAAATACTTAACCAGAGGCACTAAACATTCTCTTTAACACAACCTCAGAAATGGGTTGATACACCCCAGGAGGTGCGGGCCCCTGGGAGCACTCACTCCTTCACCCCCAGGTCTTTGCAGCCTGTTGCAGGCAGTGCGGGTGCAACAAGGTCAGACAAGCCCCGGCGCCAGGGAGCTCACCTTCTATGGGGAGGAGACAGACAAGGAAAGATCTACATGTGATGTCAGGGACCCACAAGTGCCATGAAGAGAACAGAGCAGGGACAGGCCAGAAAGTGATAACAGAAGGTCTTTAGAGGAGGTGGTCAGTGAAGGTGTCTCCCAAGGATGTCCCTGAATATCAGCAGGGGTCTGAGGGCAGTGAGGAGGAGAGCTGGGCAGAGAGGTGGGAAAATTTTCAAAACAGAAAAAATAACAGATTCAGAGGAGCTGAAGTCATGGTGGCCATGCTGCTGACCTTGACCATGGGAGACACACACACACACACACACACACACACACACATACACACACCCCAAGGCTGAGAGATGAGACCTGCTCAGGACCCAGGGCCTCATCTCTCCATCCCAACACACAGATCCAAATATTGATCCATTTTTCTTCCCTCCTAGTCTCACTCTTAAACTTCTGGAGCCCGGCTACCGCTGCCCAACCCAGGGTTGAATCAGTGCCGCCCAATGTTGCCGAAGGGAAGGATGTGCTTCTCCGAGTCCACAATCTGCCTGGGAATATTGGAGCCCATCGCTGGTACAAAGGGGAAAATGTGGACAAGAACCGTGAAATTATATCATATTTAACAAACAGTCAAAATATTTCCTACGGACCTTTATACAGCAGTCGAGAGATAATATACCCCAATGGATCCCTGCTGTTCCAAAAGGTCGCCCTGAACTACACAGGAAACTACACCCTACAAGCCACAGACAAAAGTTTTCAGCATATACAAGTAACTGGACAGTTCCGTGTATACCGTGAGTGACTGGTCTCTGACCTCTGGGTGTTGGGTGGGGTGAATTCTATTTCACACACAGGACTGACTGCCCTGGACTCTGCCTCCATCCACCTCTCATCGCGTCCCAGGCTGGGTTTGGGCATTTAGTGCAGGTCACACACAGTGGACACAAACTTCCTAAGATTAGAGTTCCCTTCCCAGATGCTAGCCCTGCAGACATTCACCACCCCAGACAGAAGGACCAGTCTGATGGGAATAACTCAGCAGAGGGAGACCAGTCTCAGTCCAGCCCCCTAGGCCACTCCCCATGACCATAACCCTAAGACCTTGGTCTTGGTCAGGGCTTGGCCTTAGGGGACCCTGGGATCCTCACAGAGAAGCTCAATCCTGTAAGCCCCTCCCTAGACCTTAGATCCAGGGTTCCTGACTCCAGGGATCCTGTGAATCCTATGTCAGGGTGGGTTTGGTCTGTGGGCAGGGCTGACTGGGAGCAACAATTTCCCAGGTACCTGAGTCACGAGGCTCCTGATCTGGTCACCCACGAGGGCTCAGCCTCAAGAACCACACCTGGGAAGGGGTGGAGCGTGGTCCTTTACCTGAGAATATGCTTGGAGAGTACATGTGGACGAGGCCCCCAGGCCATTAGTCAACAGCCCTAGTGGACACAGAAAACTCCAGAGAAAGGTCAGCATCTCCAGGGGAAAACAAAGGAGAGAAGATACTCCTGGCAGCTCCTTGTCCACCCTGGATCTAGCCAAATAATAACACATGCTGTTAACTTAGGAACTCCTCTGTTCCAAGCTTTAGGTCAGGAAATTGTGAAAGATTTAAGGTTCATTCACAGGCAACATGGCAAGCCTGAGACCTTTTACCATGTATTCTGTTTTATTTAGGGAAAACTAAGTTATCAGAGGATACCGTCACTCAGTCAGAGTCACACAGACCATGACTGCCCAATCAAAGTCATGCCACGGGCTTTCTTTTTTTTAAAAAAAAAAAAACTTTATTGAGTTCAGAGAGAGCAAGGGAGAGGGAGAGAGAGAGATAAAAACATCAATGATGAGAGGGGGCTGCCTCCTCCATGCCCCCTACTGGGGGGGATAGAGCCCGAAACCCCAGCATGTACCTTGACTACAAATCGAACCACAGTCTCCTGGATCCTAGGTCAATGCTCAACCACTGAGCCTCGCCAGCTGGGGCACGCCAACGTTTTTCTGTAGTCACAGTCCATCTTCTCCTCCACTCCAAGTGCCTTATTATGCACATGTAGACCCTGAAACCAGCTGTTCCTTCAGATCCTTTCTTTTTAGGCCTCACTAGCACAGAGGGAGAGATTCTGGTCTGGGAAGTGAAAGGAAATGGAGAACCAATTTGTTTTACTCCAGAACCAAATGACCTGCAGTAACATCAGAGTCAGTGATGGAAATGCCCAGGCCTCCCTTCAGGTGGCCAGTCCGCACCTCCTTGCACTGGACTTGAAATCGCTTATTTGTTTCCTGATGTGTTGGCGTCACTCCCACTGGATATGAAGGAAAGGACTTTGCCTTCCCACTCCCTGCTCTATACCTGCAGCCGGCTCAGGGCTAGCATGTAACAAACACCCAACTGCTTGTGATGAAGGAAAGAATTGTGGTCAGTGAATGAATGATTCATAATCTCTACAGAGACTGGCATCTGGATGCAGAGTTCTAGGTGGTTTTGCCCAATTTGAATGAATTTAATCAAACTCCAGTTCTCTTTCCTGAGTTAGAAAGAAAAGGAAGACCACATGTCAGATGTCCAGGTGGGGGTCCTCCCCATCTGCCTGACTATCCATAGAAACTGGTGACAGGGACCTTCTTCCTAACTTACTAACATAACACACGTCTTTTCTACCAGCTTGGTGTCATTCCTCCCTTTATACAACAGAGACACCCAATTTGCCCTCTGATCACTTCTGTTCTCTTAGCAGGACTCACATTCTCTCTCTCCCCAGGGAGTCAGATTTCAAACCCATGGTAGGTCTTTCTTTCTTCACATGTGACCTGGTTGGGCTGCAGAACTTGGTCTATGACCTGCAGTGCTCTCCAGAGAAGAGTCCCCCAGAAACTGGTTTTAGATCTTTGGGACATGAGTAATGATTTTCACATATTCTTTCACAATTTAACTCAAAATCTCACAACTGTTAAAAATGAATGGTCCATGAGGGCCTTATTTTCAGCAACTTTATGCTCCCCCACCTTCTGCAAGTCACCCCTTCTGTATTTGCTATTGTCTGAGTGTTTGAAGCAGGATCGTGTCCTCTGCAGTGGCAGAAAGGACATTAAAGACCAAGGGCAGACAGCATGGCTCTGCTGCCAAAGCCAGGCAGTTCCCGCTGTCCCTCATTCTTTTCTAAATCATTCCTGGACTCTGCTCTATCCTTTCTGGGGTCATTGTCTCATGTCCGTCACCAGTGACCTCCTGGGCACACAGCCCCACCTCATGGCCCTGCAGCCTGGGTACTGAACTGACTGCCAGACTTGCTTCTGGTCTCCCATGTGTTGTTTCTGCTCAGACTCCCAGTTCCAGGCCACGCTGCCCAGTCCTCTCGGGGCTTAAGGACTATGGGATGGCCCATCATTACTCATCTCTAGGATAACCCTGAATGTGAGGCCTCAGCTGTGTGGGTCTGTGTAGCTGGAAGGGACTCAGCACCCGCATCTTCCAGGTGAGGCCCCAAGGTCGGCCAGGCAGTCAGCTGGTCAGTGAGGAACCAGGACAGGCGCCGGGTGGCCTCCGGCTCCCAGTCCTACGTCTTTCCATGAACAAACCCTGATAGTTCCCTGACACCTGAGAAAGTCTGTGCTTTCCCCCAGACATAGAGCAGGTGGCCTTCCATCTCTGAGTGCTCGGGTCCTCATGCTTTTATTTGTCTTGTGATACACAGACCTGCCTTATTCTTTTAAAAATTGGGGTTGGCTGAGGGGTGAGAGGTGTCAACTCTGACTGAAGCTGCCTTTGGAGGAGTCAAAGGCACCACACAAGGCAATGTTCTCTCTGTTACCTGCACAGCGGTATTACCCAAACCCCACATCACAAGCAACAACTCCAACCCCGAGGAGCACAAGGACCCTGTCCTGTTAACGTGTGAACCTCAGACTCAGGACAACACCTACCTGTGGTTCATCAACAGTCAGAGTCTCCCGGACAGCACCAGGCTGCAGCTGTCCAAGGACAACAGGACTCTCACTTTACTCCGTGTCACAAGGAATGACACAGGGCCCTATGAGTGTGAAACCCAGAACCCAGTGAGTGTCGGCCGCAGTGACCCATTCACCCTGAATGTTCTCTGTGAGTAACTTCTTTCCCTGCCTGGGCCAGGCTGCCCACCCAAATCCACACTGGCAGAGGTCAGGCTACATCTGTCCCTCTCAGGTCCAAGGACACAGACTCTCACTCTGAACACCCAGGGTGGCAGTGACTTCCAGTCCCAGGCAAATCTGAGCAGGCTTGTGGGTTGGGACGAACAGGTTAATGTGTCAGACTTAGGCTCAGTGCACACAGGGGGTTCTGGTTGGGACTTTTTAAAACAAGGCTGGGACCCAGCTCAGAGGGACAGTGTGGCCCTTACACAGACCAGAGACTTCCCCTTCCCTCTGATTACATCATGTGTGGCTTTGTTCTCTTTGCTCCAGATGGCCCGGACGACCCCACCATTTCCCCGCCAGACTCCCATTACCCAACAGGGGCAAACCTCAGCCTCTCCTGCCAAGCGGCCTCTAACCCGCCTGCACACTATTCTTGGTTTATCAATGGGAAGCCCCAGCCACCCACACAAGAGCTCTTTGTCCCCAACATCACTGTGAATGATAGTGGATCCTATACCTGCCTGGCCCGTAACAATGTCACTGGCCTCAATAGGACCACAGTCAAGACTATCACAGTCTCTGGTAAGTGCCCCCTGGACCATCGGCACCAGGCTGTAGGGTGCATATCTGTCTAGTTTTCAGAAAAGAGCCTAGAAGATGTTGTCTCCCATCCTGTGGCCATGGACAAAGCAAACCACAAATTCTTCCCCTGAGCCCTCCCACTACAGCCCTGTAGACTCTCCTCCCCTGGCTGTTCTGATTTCTCATGGGGGAGCAGGGGTCCAGCCTTGGAAAGTGAGGAGGGGGTTCTCTCAGCCCCAGAAAGCCCCATGTGGTAGAAGGGGCTACACAGAGGGGGAAAACAAGGGTCCTCAGGGTTAAGTTGCTTCTTCTGTCACTAATACCTTCCTTCTGTCACCTCTTTTCTGTTTCCTGCTCTGTAGGCTACAAGGAACTTACAAGGCTTTGAATTAGTCTCAGTTCTTGTTTTCCTAACAGAAGGAGGAAACCACCTCTGAGGAGGGGTGAGCAGGACAGACCCCTGCTCTCTGCTCTGCTCCAGGCTCACCTGGTGACTGACTCTGCTCTATGTCATCTGTGTTGGGGCAAGGGTCTGTGGAGCAGGTGCATGGGTGTCCTGTCCTCAATCTGGCCATATGGTGTCACCTACCCACCCACAACCTCCCTCAGGCCAGGCTGCATGGAAATGGGAAGAGAACCAGCCACAGAGGAGACTCCTCTGAGCTGTATCCTGGCTCTGAAGTCACCAGCTGTGCAATGCTGAGCGACACCAGCATATATGATATTCCAAAGGGGAGCAGTGAGCCATGGTGCATACTTGACAAATGTGTAGGTTCATCCATGAAGTCCCTTCATGGGACAGAAGGAGCAGTGGCACAAAGTTTGTAGTTTATGGAGGAGGCTAAGAATACCAGCCTTTTCTCAAAACTGTGACTACTTCTCTCTAGAGATTTCCTTCTCTGTGATATTCAATCCGCAGGCCAGGAAGGGAAAGTCCCCTTCAGACTGAGAAACCCTTTAGGTTAGAATTTCTCTAGCCCAGCCAGAGGGGCACAGTTGATTGAGCATCATCCTCTGCATCAAAAGGTTGCCAGTTAAATTCCCTGTCAGGGCCCATCCATGGGTGGTGGGTTTGAGTCCCAGTTAGAGTGTGTATGAGGGGCAGCTGTTTGATGTTTCTTTCTTACATCGATATTTCTCTCTCTCTCTCCCCTCCCCCCTCCTCTCTCTAAGTATGTCCTCAGTGAAGATAAAAAAATAATAATAATTTCTCCAGGTCTTAAGGTCATGAAGACTGACTGAGCTAGTCTCATTCTCTTACAAGTGATCTAACAAGAAAGAAATGCCTTCCCATCTCTATGTAAAGCTACCGCACTAGAGAGGAGGTCGCATCTTTTAGAAAGTCACAGAAAGCTCTAGGAAAGAGGCACACAAAAGTCACACAAAAGTCAATGGGAGTTGCCTGGCCGGTGAGGTTCAGCGGTTGAGCATCGACCTAGGATCCAGGAGATTGTGGTTCCATTCCCGGTCAGGGCACATGCCCAGGTTGCGGGCTTGATCCCTAGTCCGGGATGTGCAGGAGGCAGCCGATCAATGACTCCCTCATCATTGATGTTTCTATGTCTCTCTCTCCCTCTCCCTTCTCTCTGAAATCAATAAAGATATATATACACATATATTTAAAAAAAAAAAAGTCAATGGGTGAAAAATTCTACTTTATGATGAAGATGCTGGACACACGGGCTGAGAAGAGGTTCCTGGTGTTAATGCTACAGATATCCAGGGAGACAGGTCAGGGGTCATCCCAAGGTAATATAGAGATAAAGGGGTAAATATAGCCCTTTCCTTACAGATTGTCACCTGAACAAAGATACTCATCCTGCAGAGGTCAGGGCCATCCTCTGGTGACCTTCACAGAGCTCACTGTGGACTGTGAGTGGCTGAGATCTCTGAGGAAGGAGCCCACTCTCAGTCAGCCACCTCCTATTTCCCCACAGAGCCCGTGGGAAAGCCCTCCATCCGAGCCAGCAACACCACAGTCACAGAACATAAGGACACTGTAGTCCTGACCTGCCTCACAGATGACACTGGGATCTCCATCAGGTGGTTCTTCAGTAACCAGAGTCTCCTGCTCACAGAGAGGATGAATTTGTCCCGGGACAACAGCATCCTCACCATACACCCTGTCAGGAGGGAGGACGCTGGGTATTATCAGTGTGAGGTCTTCAACCTTGTCAGTTTCAAGAAAAGTGACCCGCTCAGGCTGGATGTGCAATGTAAGTGGCCCATCCGACATTTTCTGGGAGAATTGCTCTACCAATGATGTGAGAAATGGACAGAAGTCACAGGGGGAAGAATGTAGTCAGGAGACGTTATAGTAAACAGAATGGCAAAGTGGTTAAGAGCTGTCTCTGAACCAGATATAGTTTCTGAACCTGGTCTGGCATTGACTGTGTGACGTCGCCCAGGTTCTTTTTCTTCCTATTACCATTTTTCATGTGGTAAAATCAGGTAAGAGTTACCATTTCCTAAGGCTGAATAATATTCCCTTGTATGTATACATCACACTTCGCTTATCATTCATCCGTCTATGGACTTCTGGGTTGTTTCTACCATCTGGCTCTTGTGAATGATGCTGCAGTGAACGTGGGTTATGAAAAACAGATATGAACAAATCCACATCTGTTCAAATCTCTGCTTTTAACTCTTTGGGGGGTATGCCCAGAAGCAGAATGGTTGGATCCAATGGTAATTCTTTGCTCAGTTTTTTGGTGGACTGCTGTGCTGTTTTCCATAGAGGCTGAACCATTTTACAGTTCCACCAGCAATGCACAGAAGTTCCAATTTCTCCACAACCTTTGGAACACTCGTTGTTTGCTGAGCTTTTTAACAATTTTTTATAATAGCCATCCTAATGGGTGTGAGGTAGTATTTCACTGTGGTTTTGATTTTCATTTCCCTAATGATTAGTGATGTTGAGCATCTTTTCATGTGCTTATTGGCCATTTATTTATCTTCTTTTGGAGAAGTGTCTGTTTGAGCCCATTTTTTGATTTTTTAAAAAATTTATCTTTATTGTTGAAAGTATTACCTCTGTCCCCTTTTTTCTCCATTGATCCCTCCACCACCCTCACTGCACTATTGTCTAGTTAAAGGTTTCTCGTTGATTTCGCTATTGATTTTCCATTCTGCATTTTATTTATCTCCACTCTAATTTTATTATTCCCTTCTGCTAGCTTTCAGTTTAGTTTGTTCTTCTTTATATAGTTCCTTCAGTTGTAAAGTTAAGTTGTTGATATGAGACCTTTCTTCTTTTGTAAAGTAAGCAATTCCAATTATGAATTTCTTGCACAAAATTCTTAACCTTCTGAGCCTCATTTCCACTACTCACAATTACAATAACAGTACCTGCTTCATGGTATTGTTTTATTTTTTTATTTTTATTTTTAAAATATATCTTTATTGATTTCAGAGAGAGGAAGGGAGAGAGAGAGAAAGATAGAAATATCAATGATGAGAGAGTCATTGATTGGCTGCCTCCTGCATGCCCCCAACTGGGGATCGAGCCCGCATCCTGGGCATGTGCCCTGACCGGGAATCGAACCCTGATTGCTTGGATCCTAGGTTGACGCTCAACCACTGAGCCACGCCTGGCAGGGCTCATGGTATGGTTTTAAATATTTGAAGTAACAATCAATTAAACCCTTATCAAAAGTTCCATAAGTGTTAGCTGCTATGATTACTACTATTATCATTGGCCTCCATAAAGTCAGATGGCTCTAGAGTGAAAGCCCAGATCCACCTCTTACTAATCTTATAACTTTGGGTAAATTTTTCACCCCAAAATTTACTCTATGCCTCAGTTTTTTCATCAATGAAATGGAAATCATGTCTATCTGACAGAGAAATTATATGAATCAAACGAGATATGAGTAAAGTATTTAGCACAGAGCCTGGCACATAGTAAGTACCCCATAACAGTAGCTAACATTAATAATTGTCAATCTTGAGTTGACTAGTGAGGGAAATGGAAATAAAAAAGAGGAAACAAGATGCAAAATGATTTCTATTTGGGGGGCAGGGGAGCATTACACACAGAAATCTTTGGGACATGTTTACTGACAAAACAGAGGAAAAGGAAGAAAAGAGTTGAGTGTAATCACAAGCCTAGTTTGTTGCTTTTCATCCCCTGAAATGCAGCCAAGATGGGATTAGACATAGAAATATTTATTGGAAAAATGCCTGTCAAGGAAAGTGGGATGGAAGTGGGAGGAGCCTGGGAGATTCCTCAGACAAGGATGTAAAACTGATTCCTGGGAAGGAGAAAGAGAAGAAAGTTGTAGCTTGCAGTGCGGTTCTAAGAGACTATCTGCAAGGCTGCTGGGGGGTCCTGAGCTCAAGTCACCCATCAGGGGAAAACCGATTCTCACAGCATTGGGCTTATTTCCTATTCCTGCTGGGAGCCTGTGGGAAGCGTGGTCTCTGTCAAAGGAGGTGGTGCATTCACTACAGGAGACCTGAGTGGCACATATTCGTGGCTGCCACACCTCATACTGAAATACACACAACCCTGAGATGGTGAAAACATATAACTTACAAAAAGGGCCATCACCCTTTCCCACATTTCCAAAGCTCCAAGAATATCTGAGTGCAGAAAGGCCAGGATGGAATTGTGGCAAGTCTGACCACCAACCTAGAAACACGGTGAGAGAAATTACAAGGATATAGTCAACTAACCACCTCACAGGGCACCCTCACTGTAAAATAATGTCACTTCATTCATTCTTCTCTTTTCTAGCCATGACAGATGATCCAACACCACAAAGTCCTGGCCTCTCAGATGGAGCTATCGCTGGCATCGTGATTGGAGTCCTGGCCGGCGTGGCTCTGATAGCAGCCCTGGTGTACTTTCTATACATCAGAAGGACTGGAGGGTATGCTGGCCTTTCCTCCCATCCCCCTTCCTCCAACGCTAACCGCCATGCTTGGGAGAGGGAAGGAGACTTCCTCCTCTGTCTCTGGGCCTGGATCTGTTCCTCCTCCTTCCTAAACCCTTGCTTCTCAGCACTGACTCCAGCAGCCTCTTCTTCCCTGGTCTTCAAGCTTCCTGTACCCACTCTCCCTGGGACATGGTTATTCCCATCCCCACTGGGCTTAGAGGGGGCAGGTCTGATTCCCCAAGTCAGGGAAACCAAGGTCCAAGAGGGAAAACAAAGAAGTGAAAAGAGGAGCAGGAGAAAGTGAGTCCTGTGCTCTGTCAACCACAGAAACAGGAGAAGAGAGGGCAGGACAGGAGGGGAACCTAAGGAAAAGCAGAAACCGAAGGGCCCTTGGGCAATAACGAAATAAGAAGAAAAACAGCATCTACAAAAGGGAAAGGTGTCAGGGTAGAGGGAGGCTCCGAAGCAGTTGACAAAGAATGGACCTCTGTGAACGTCAGGCCAGCAGGAAAGGAGTGCACACTAGGAGGGATGGGGGTACACTGCAGGGGAACCCAAGGAGGAAAGGCAGTGCCGACCCTGGTATAGATGAGCACCGAGGAGCCCCAGGAATTATCTGCTGACAGTGTCCTTCCTGCTTCAAGGAGCAAAGCTCCTGTGCTTGGAGATAGCAGTCACAGTGTCTGATATTTATTTAGGGCAAGTGACCAGCGCGATCTCACAGAGCACAAACCCTCAGCCTCCAACCACAGTAAGTAAAGCCATCACCAGTGAGAGCTGGTGTGTTCCACCACGTGCCCTGCCCGGGCAGGGAGCCCGGGTACCTTCTGATTTTTAGATGGGATCTCCATTTCCCAACAGTAGGTTGATGTAGGTCCTCACACCCTTCTTGCCACAAAAGATTCCCCTGAGAACAGCCCTGAGGGAGAGACACTGGGCCTGACCAGGCAGACCTGCGTAAGATGGACACGTTTTCCAGAGCCATTCCTCATCTTCCCCTTCCCCTCTTTGTCTCTCTTACGGATGTGGGCATTCTCCTTTGGTGAGACTTTCCCTGTCTTTTGATGCTCTGGGTGCTGTGGGTTTCAATACCCCTCCTTGCCACTGGTGCCTGGTGCTGAGAAACACAACTGGGCACAGATCAAGGCCTTGTCAACTGGAAAAAATCCTCACAAGTGAACTGAGGTCTCCATGGCTCTGCTGCTGCCTCCACCCCGGCCCCTAGCAGCTGGTACTAACACCCTGGGTCTGGACCAGACTCTGCCGGAAGCTATTTCCTTAAGTGCTCATGGGCCACCTCCCCGCCCCACCCTCTCACTTGACCTGCCACCTCCTTCTGCTAGAAAGCACAACAGTTTAGGAACACCAGGGCTGTAAGGCCTTAAATCAGCTTTGCATTTTCATGGATTGGTAATTCTTCTTTCACTTTCCCAGGTCAGGGCCACTCTGACAACTCACCTAACAAGGTAAGTACAGCCGATTTAGAAAGGGCTACTCTATTATTATTTTTTAAATATATCTTTATTGATTTTAGAGATGATGAAAGAGTCATTGATTGGCTGCTTCTGCAGGTCCCCTACTGGGGATGGGGCTCGCAACCCGGGCATGTGCCTTGACTGGGAATGGAACCATGATCTCCTGGATCATAAATCGATGCTCAACCACACCAGCCGGGCAGAAAGGGTTACTCTTGAATTCACAAATGAGATATAGTTTGAGTCAGAGTTCCTCAATGCAGCAACAAACCAGTTTATGTTGGTTAACTACTCCCACGGGTCGACCTCATGCAAGAACGTGGGCTCTAGAGTTATTCCCATCCTTTGTTTGAATTCTGGTGTGACTCTTAGTAGCTCTGTGACCTTGGGCAGGTTACTTAACCTCCCTGATCCTCAGCTCTGTTATGTGTAAAATGGGCATGCTGCCTACTTCAGACAGAAGCTGAAGGAGTGAAATGAGGTAACACATGCAAAGCACCAGCACAGTGCCTAGTGCGAGGAAGGCGAGGAAGGCACCGGGTGTTCTCCCTCCTCTACCCTCAGTCTGACCCTGCTCCTCCTGTCCAAGGAAATGTCCATTCCAATGGGTCTGAGGTCTTAGTTCCTTTACTTTATAATAATTTTGCCAAGCTTCTCTCATTTAGCCTTTCCATAGGCACATGTATATATTGAAAAGTGGTTAAATCATACGTATATGCTAACAATGTATAAATTATTATGAGCTGAACATGCCCGTGTGAGCAGCACTGATGTGAAGAAACAAAACCTGCCATTCCTGCAAAATGAAGCCCTCTGGTCCCTCCCTCCAAAGAGTAAGCATAGCCTGACTTCCAATGCACTAGATTAGTGTTGCCGTTTGTGCCCTCACATTGAAAAGGGCGGCATGCCCTCATCTGTGTCTGCTTTCTTTCATTCAAAATGGTTCTGTGCGACTCATCCAGACTGTTGTGTGCATTTGTAGCTGTTTGTTCTCATTGTTGTATCATCGTCTTCGGCTGTGTGAACACCATAATCTATCTCTTCTAATGATCATTCCAAGGTGTCAGCACACAGGGATAGTGGGTTAGAAAAGCCCTTCTCCCAAGCTAGAAGTTTCAGAGCAGTGAGAGCAGGTGGTGCCGAATGACACCAGGCAAGGTGAGGGCCTGACCTATGACACTGATTTAATTGACTGCTGCTCATGCCTTTCAGGTCCCTGAAGTTACATATTCTTCCCTGAACTTCAATGGCCAGGAATCAAAGAAACCAACCTCAGCCTCTCTGTCCCCAACAGCCACAGAAACGGTTTATTCAGAACTAAAAAAGAAGTAATGCAACTCTGCTCACTGCACTGCTGACTGATGCCAAGCTTCTCATCTCATTTCCATCACTAGGAGACCCCTTTGCCCTCAGGGAAAAGGAGAAGAACCCTCTTCCTCCTCCCCCTTCCCTTCACTCCCTCCTGAGGCACCTCCAGGCTCCTGGTCACAGCCCCGCCCTTCAGTGTCAACTGATGAAAAGGTACATCCAGGAGTCTGCAGGAAGCCCAAACTTCCTTGTCATTGAAATCTGGCAAAGCTGACCTTGTGAGAGAGTTGCCAGAACCTCCAGCCCCTCCCCATTCCCTGACCTGGATTTGTTCTAAACTTACCTGTTCAGCGCACCCTCCATCCTCCCCACCCCAGCCGTGTCCCATTGGCATCTCGCTTGAATTTGCCATAATCTTGAGAGCTACCTCCTCATCCACAGCAATGCGTGTGCCAGAGAAGAAAGAGAAACAGGAAGCTTCTCCTGTCTCTCCAAAGCCCAGTGTGAACAGGCCACACAGGAAAACAAATATATAACCAAGTCTCAACAGGGAAATTCTACACCTTTGCCCATTGTCAGGGTGTCTAAAAACATCTTGCTGCTTGGCTAGAATACCACCTAAGCCCACTGGCAAACCTGTCTTCAGAGAACCCACTAGAAGCAACTAGGAAAACTATAGGTGATTCCCAATGGGAAATGAACATATGTTTTAATAACTTTGTGGGCTTTTATTCAAGGAAATGCTTACAGAGGGAGGGAATTACAGCTTTAGGGACACTTAGCTCCCAATAAGAAACAATCTGCTGGGAATTTCAGAAAGGAAACAGAGAGTTACCATTCAGAGATTATTTAAATAATTATTAAAGAATGCACAATTTGGGGTATTGGTTTTTTTCCTGTTTCTCTGAGACATTTCACCATTTTAATTTTTGTAACTCATATGTGTGAAAGGGGTTATTTTTACTTGGCTTTGCTCTGTAAGCTGATCTGAGGGCTTCAGGGGAAAGAAGCCACCAAAACCCCAGAAGTCCCCTTGGCCAGGAGCTCCTTCACAGCTTTTATGTCAGGGGCTCCAGATGGGAAAGAAGAACCAGTTTCCCTCATTCTCAGTAGATCTAAGTCAGTGTCCAGGCATCTCAGGCTCATTGTCAACCACCTTTCAATTACATGTTTCTGCCTGTACACGATCTGTCCGTTTGCCCCACTCACTGTCTCAGGAAACCTGGGCCTCTGCTAAGGTGTATTTGGTCCTTGAAGTGAAGGGAACACTGTCACTCATGCTGTTGCCATGGTTTACAAGCCAGAAGGCTGCACTGGTGCTGATGCTCCTTAGGACACAGAGGAGGAGCATAACTGGGCCCCAGGCTTCTTGAACAGCCTCTGAAATTTTTCTCCCATGGGGTTTATGAGTCCAACATGTCAGAATAAAGGAAGGGCAGGGGGAGGAGAGGCAAACTACTATCCACCCAGCCTTCCACACACATGACTCTCTTTGGGGCTGTTGAAAGAATCTATTCAATATTGATTACTCAACCTCATGCTGTGTCTAACAGGCCCCTCAGAGAGGGTAGTTGGGAGTTCTCTGTACTCAGGTACCTCTTTCAAGGTTTTCTAACCCCAACACAGACTGTATATACTTCCCCTCATTTGTGCTATTCTGTGTTATTTAATTTTGCCTGGCTAAGTCCACTTCTGAATTATTTGTAAAATTTGCTCTGTATTTATAATAAAAATTATTCATCAGATCTCAACATGCCGCCTCACAGTTGATACTACTTTAGACAATGTCTTCTTTACAGGCAGAAGAAAGAGAAATTACCTAACTAGGAGTCAAAGCCTATTTCTAAGTCTACAGATATTGAATCTAGTAATCAGAAAAGTCGCCAATTTTAATTTGCACACCAGCTAACAAAATGAGTCTATCTAGAAGCAATAGCCCATAGTTGCAAACTGCCTGGAAGAAACTGCCAATTTTCCTCTGGGAAGGGAGGTGATTTCATGAGTAAAAAATTTCCCAGCCTTGCCTGGCCGGTGTGGTTCAACGGTTGAGCATCGACCTAGGATCCAGGATATTGTGGTTCCATTCCCAGTCAGGGCACATGCCTGGGTTGCAGGATCCATCCCCAGTGAGAGGCGTGCTGGAGGCAGCTGATCAATGACTGTCTCTCATCACTGATGTTTCTATCTCTCTCTCTCCCTCTCCCTTCCTCTCTCTGAAATCAATAAAGACATAGTTAAAAAAAAATTCTCAGCCTCTTTATTAGGGACAAATAACACTTCCCACACCAGTGGCTCCAGTGAATCAGATGCAGCAACTGAGTTTCACTGACAAGAGTCTCCATGGGTTCTGCCCCATAGAAATCTCTCCAGCACCTTCTATCTTCCTGTCCCCAGGTCATTCTTTCTGCCACTTCATAGGGTCAGAGCTCTCCTAACCTGAATAACTTTCGTTCATTAATTCCACTAAGTATTAGCCTGTTATCTCATTTCCTTCATTTCCAAGTGATTGAAGCATGTGCTGTCTTTCCCTTCCCTCATCGCTGGCTGAGTTTCTCCATCCCCAAGACACTGGAAGCAGGATAAAATCAGGATCCATCTCTTGGCCAAATTCAAAGGTCTCTTCACCGTCCTCACATTGTTCACTTTTACAGCATCTAAGACCACAGACAACTTTTTCCGTCTTGGGCATTTTCAAGATGATATTGATTACTTGATCTCATGCTGTGTCTAACAGGTCCCTCAGAGGAGGTTAGTTGGAAGTTCTCTGTACTTAGGTACCTCTTTCAGGGTTTTCTAACCCCAACATAGACTGTATATACTTCCCCTCATTTGTGCTATTCTGTGTTATTTAATTTTGTGTACTTAAGAGCACACATTCTAAAGCCAGACCATCTGCACCAGGAGTTGCTGCTCCTGAGTGCCTACTAGGAGACTTCAGGCAAGCTATTGGTAATGTTTCTGTGCCTCGTCAATGAGTTAATTCCTGTGTAAAATGCTTATAAGGTGCTGGATAAACAATAAATATTAGCTGTTAGTAATGGTAGTAGTATCTCAGCCCACAATACCACACATTTTGAAAATCTCATCCAATTTCTATTTTTTACTTGTTTTCTTTTTGTTAGACTGTCTACTCGGAAAGCAGGGACTGTCTTATTTATCTCTATATCCCCAGGACCTGGCCTAAGGCCATGCCCATAATAGGCACTGTAGGGGAGCTCAGAGATGCAGTATGTCTCCAGCAGTAAAGGCGTCTGGGAAATGTTGGACTCTGTTTAACCTTCTGCGACTGTTTAACTCTCTATAGCCTCAGGTTCAGCTGACTACCCAAAAAAGCCAGAATGCTGCCCAAAGATAAAGTTCAGACACCAGGAAGGAGGTTAATGAATGTATAGAGTGTGATAACTGCCTGCTGTTATCTGTTAACTTAGAAATGCATTGTTCTTTTTGGTGGTCTATGACTACCCACCATATGGTTTTACTATTAACCCCTGTCCTGGGAGGGGGTGGATCTCTTCCCAGCCGGCCACCTTTGGGAGCAGGCAGCTGCTTTGCCCATATATGTACGTTTCTCCTATTAAAGCTCCTATGAATTTGAACAAGGCTATGTGTCAGTTCTTTGTAATCAATCCTGAATTTAGACTTTTGGGGCTTTCCCCCAACAGGTACACATCAGGCAACTCTTCTTTAAGGCAGCAGGGGAAGAACTACCTTTAGCTTCCTTCCTTGTTTCCACCTCCTCCCTTACTCTGCTCCAGAGATGTTCATTTGTTGATGGTGCTCTCTGATCCCTTCTCTGGCAGGTGTTCCAGTGCTTCCTTTCTCTCTCCCCACAGCTACATTCTTGAAACAGCCTCTGTGTCACTTATTCTGCAATTAATAAAGGGTGAAGGGCAGCTGAATTTCTGGACCACTGGCTTCATGCCTATTTTTGAGAAGTAGAATCCTCTGGAAAAGAGAAAAGCAGATAGGATGGTAGTCAGCATATAAAGCCTTCAAATAAAGCCTCATCTTTAAAGAAACCCTGTAGCCATGTTTGTATAGTCAGCTAACATCTCACTGGGGAGGAGGAGAGATGACAGGAAGGGAGCCCAGCTTTGTGTTAATTTTTGCTTTGTAAACTTCTGGGTTTCTTTTCTCTCACTAATAAACATCCTCATTTTCTCCCCAGAGCAGAGAGACTCAAAGAGGAAGATCCAGAGACTAAGAACTGAGAAGCCATGAAACCATAGGTGGCCGTAGACTCTAAAAATGAAGTAGGAAGGTTAGATGCACATCTCTCTCGAATCACAACTCTCTGTACAAAGTGCTCTTTGCCCTGGGCAGTGATGTGATGCTGGAATCTGATACTGGTCTCCCTAAGAGTGGGAATTGCTGGTAGAACATTAACTAGCTGCCCAGGAGCAGAAGGAAATGGAGCCCTCTGAAACACCTCTCCCTACCTATTCTCCCAAGTTTCCTCTGAGAGGAGGACAATTCAAGGCTATGTTCCCAACCCTAGGATTTGATGGTTCTTTTCTGTAAAATAAAAATAAATTTTAAAAAGCCAAGTTGGGGAGGGAGCACAAAGCAGAAATGGGACATGGGCAAGAATGTACTAAAAAGATAGTTAGAGCATGCTTTGTTTAAGGTCAAAGTCTTCAGAAACATGCCAATCTCCCTCTGCTGCTGCCTGGGCTCCATACTTGGAGCCCTATCTGAACTTGAACTAGAGCAAGAAAGGAAAGGGGGAACTGGGAACAGGAAGACAAATAAATACAGAGTGGCATGTTCCCTGAAATACTAAGTGTGATTATACAGAAGTGAAACTATTTTGTAGGGCTCAGACTGGTTTTAAGAACAACTCTACATGATGAGTGACAAAAATATTTCAATTAACGACAGAGCTATTGGAATATATGTATAGCCACCCAGGACAACTACTCTTAAGCTGCCCATTTTTATCTGGATATGATATTGAGACAGGCCAGTAAACCAGGACAAGTGAAATGGGGAAATTGAGACAAATAGTAGAACAAACTGGCTGAGCAATTTACAGCCACATACAAAAGGTCACCTCCCCATAGATAACATCTAGACCTCAGATGTATTTCAGCTCCACGCCCAGAAAAGCAACAAAACCAAGTGGGCAACCCCAGGACCAGCTGTAGTGACTAACAACCGCCTGCCCTGGCACTAATCAGTAGAGACCATGACCCTGAAAGAGAGAGTACACCTGGAAAACTGATGAATATTCTGCTGAAACCCTCCCCTAGATTCCTGCCCTAGCCAGTTTGGCTCAGTGGTTAAAGCATCAGCCCTCAGATGGATGGGTCCCGGGTTCGATTCTGGCCAAGGGCACATACCTTGGTTGCAGGCTCAACCCCCACCCTGGTTAGTGCTTGAGCGGGAGGCAACCAATTGATGTGTCTCTCTCACATTGATGTTTCTATCTCTTTCTCTCTCCCCCTTCCACTCTGAAAAAGCAATGGAAAAAAATATACTTGGGTGAAGATTAAAAAAAAAAAAAAAAGATTCCTGCCTGCAAGAAAAGTAAAAGCCTCAAGACATCAAATGGGGGGTGGGGGAAACAGGAGTAGAAGGTGGTCAATGGGGGGGAAAAGAGATGATCTGTAATACTTTCAACAATAAAGATAATTTTTTTTAAGAATAGACATCAGCCTTAGCCGGTTTCGCTCAGTGGTTAGAGTGTTGACTCACAGACTGAAGGGTCCAGGGTTGGATTCTGACCAAGGGCATGTACCTCAGTTGCAGGCTTGATCCCCAGCCCTCCTTGGCCTGTGTGCGGGAGGCAACTAATCGATGTGTCTCTTTCACATCAATGTTTCTCTCTCTCTCTCTCCCTTCCACTCTCTCTGAAAAGCAATGGAAAAATATCCTCGGGAGAGGATAAAAAAAAAGACATCAAATGAAAAAGCTTCTGCACAACAAAAGAACCATCAACAGAATGAAAAAGGGAGCCCACTATATGGGAGAACATGTTCGCCAATGATACAACTGATAAGGGGTTAAGTTCCAAAATATATAAAGAACTTATACAACTCAACACCAGAAAGACACACAACCCAATTTAAAAATGGGCAAAGGACCTGAATAGACACTTCTCCAAAGAGGGCATACAGATGGCCAAAGGACATGTGAAAAAATGCTCAGTGTCACTAATCAGAGAGATGCAAATTAAAACCACAATGAAGTACCACCTCACATCTGACATAATGGCTACCACCAATAAATCAACAAACATCCCCTGGCCGGCTTGGCTCAGTGGTTAGAGTGTCTGCCTACAGACTGAAGGGTCCTAGGTTTGATTCCAGCCAAGGGCATATACCATGGTTGCAGGCTCGAGGTGCATGTAGGAGGCAACCAATCAATGTGTTTCTCTCACACTGATGTCTCTCTCTCTCTCACTCTCTCCCTTCCATTCTCTCTGAAAAGTGATGGAAAAAATATCCTTGGATGAGGATTAAAAATAACCAACCAATCAATCAATCAACAAACAGTAAGTGCTGGCGAGAATGTGGAGTAAAGGGAACCCTGTTGGTGGGAATGCAGACTGGTGCAGCCACTGTAAAAAACAGTATGGAGTTTCCTCAAAAAATTAAAAATGAAACTGCCTTTTGACCCAGCGATCTCACTTCTGGGAACGTACCGTAAGAATCCCAAAACACCAATCAGAAAGAATATATGCTCCCCTATGTTCATAGTAGCATTATTTACAATAGCCAAGTGCCCATCAGTTGATGAGTGGATAAAA